TCACTGTAAGAAGGGGACTAAGGAAGAAAGAAGGAAAATAGAGGAGATAAACCAATTTGGGTTGTAACACATATACACATGGAAATGTCACAAGGAAACTCCCTGTGTAGTTATCTTCAACAAACAAAAATGTGTTGTTTTGTTTTGTTTGTTTTTTTACAAAATTGGAGAACAGGAGGGCAGAACAAGTCCTGTCTGGAGGGGCTGGTACCAGTGGGATGGGGGAGGATATGGGGAAGGGGTGTGGGAGGGTGAATATGGTGCAAATACTGTATACACTTGTATGTAAATGGAAAAATGAGACCTGTTGAAACTATTCCAGGAATGGGGGAGGGGATAAAGGAGAATGATGGAGGGAGTGAATTCAACTATGATATGTTTGATATATTGTAAGAACTTTTGTAAGTGCCACAATGCACCCCCAGCACAATAAAAAAAACAAAAAACAGAATTCCTGCAGGTTCAGACACCAGACAGTAACTTGACTCTCGAGTCCTCGTATCTGCATTCTGGAACTCCCATCCCATATTTTTCTGTATCTGCAAACTCTTCACCAAGACTCACTAGATATCTTCACTTAATTTCTTCTGTTAATTTATTTAAACATCAAGAGTATGACACTATTTTTTGGATCTGCAATGTAGTGCAGAGAATGATTCTCTGCAAGCATGTCTGCTGCCATCACTTCTTTCAACTTTGAATTGAGGTCTTAGCCTGTATAAGGCAAGAAAAAGAAATAAAAGGCAACATGGAAGAAAAAGAATCACTATAATTCTCTTTACTCACAGACACGGTGAATAGGAATATAGAAAACCTTGAGGAATCAATACAAGTTACTCCAATTAATAAATGGCTTAAGTTAGCAGGACACAAGGTCAAAATAAAAACCAAGTGTATTTCTACACAATCCAAACAATTATAACTTAAAGCGCACACGCGCGCACACACACACACACACACACACACACAAACCCTTCTCAAAATGGAATCAAGAATCATTAAACTCTTAGTATTATACACAAAATGTGTACATGATGGTTTGAATATGAAACATCCCCTTCAGACTCATGTGGTCCCCAGCTGCTGGCCCTATTTTGGGAGGTAGTGGAAACTTTAGGAGTTGGGACCTAGGTGGAGGAAGGAGGTCATTGTAGACCTGTCCTTGAAGGTTCTATCTGGTCCTTGCTTGTTTTTCCTCTCTGCTTCTGTCCACAATGAGGTGAAAAAACTTCTCTGTGATATATTCCCATCACCATGGTGTTCTGCCCAAGCACATGAACCCAAGCATGTGCTGAACCCTCTGAAACCATGTGTCAAAATAAATCTTTCCTTCTGTAGGTTGTTCTCTCAAGTACTTTGTCACAGCAATGAGAAAAGTAACTAATACAGAAAATTGGCACCAGCAAGTGGGATCATTGCTGTGATTAAACCTGGTAACTTGGCTCTTAAGCAAATGTACTGGTATGCAGGAGAAATTTGAAAGAGTTTGAAGAATCAGGCTAGAAAAAGCCTAGGATGTTGCAAGCAGACTTAATGGGTGATTCTCATGAGAACTCAGAAGACCAGAATGCAGACAGTAAAAACTGTGCTCACAAAGTTTCAGAGAAAACAAGGACTCACCAGGCGCCCATGGCTCATGCCTGTAATCCTAGCTTCTCAGGAGGCAGAGATCAGGAGGATCACAGTTTGAAGCCAACCTGGGCAAATAGTTCCACAAGACCCTATCTCAAAAAACCCTTCACAAAAATAGGGCTGGTGAAGTGGCTCAAGGTAAAGGCCTTGAGTTCAAGTTCCAGTACTGCAAAAAAAAAAACAGTGTAAATGGACTACAAGGCTCAAAAGCAAACTTTTTAGTACAATGGAAACATTAAAAAATTTGATTGTGTTGGTAAATAATTTTTTTCATAAAAACATATCCATTGTACAATTAGGATGGGTAGATTTTATGGTATGTGACTTATAAATCAATAAAGCTATTTTAAAAGGTAGTTTGACTAATGTCTACAGACCATCCTCAAATTATGACAGTCTGACTTACAATTTCTTGACTTTACTATGGTGTAAAACAATACTCGTTAAGTAAAAACTGTATTTGAATTTTATCTTTTCAATCTGCAATATAGAGTACTCTGCAATTCTGGGCAGCGTCAGTGAGCCAAAGCTACCAGTCAGCCACATGATCAAGAGGGGAAACAATTTATACTTTACAGTATTGCTAAGTTAGGATGTTTGGTAGGTTATTTCTCTTAAATGCATTTTGACTTACAATATTTTCAACTTATGATATGGGTCTACCAGGGCATAATCCCATTATAAATCAAGGAGTACCTGTACCTAATTATTCTTTTCCTTTGTGATTAAATCCTTAAAGATGGTTTTCATCAATGCACTTACAAGTATATATGTTTTTGTTGTTGTTTTCTTGGGGGGTTTTGTGAGATTTTTTTGTTGTTTGTTTTTTCCCTGAGACGGGGTTTCACTATGTAACGCAGGCTGGCCTTGAATTGATGATCCATCTGCTTTCACCTCCTGAATACTGGGATTACAAGCATGTGTTTTCTTGTTTAGTTGTTTGTTTTGGTTTGGTTTGGTTTGCAGTACTGGGGCTTGAACTCAGTACTCTCTACCACTTGAGCCATACCTCCAATCCTTTTGCTTTCAGATTTTCAGAAAAGGTCTCACACTAACTTTGTCCAGGCTGGTCTTGAATCATGATCCTCCTACTTCCACCTCCTGAGAAGCTGAGACCACAGGCCATGCACTATGCCTACCTTGTTTTTGAGATAGGATCTCACCAACTTTTTCCTGAGCTGATCTAGGACTTAAATTCTCCTGTCCCTCCCTCCTGAGTAGGTACAGGTACAGGTACAGGCATGCACCCCCACACACAGCCAGTATAGTACTTTTTTAAAAAGGCTACACAGTTAAGTTTCAGGTGGAAAAAAGATACAATCATAATTTGAATCTACTACTTTTGTTTTCTCATGCTATGTTTTCACTCAACTATTTGGTCTATTTTATCATTTGTCTTACATTTCAGTCTCATGTCCAATAAGCTTTCTCTTCCCTCAACCTAGCCAATTGTTCATGCCCATAGTCCTAGCTCCTCCAGGGTAAACTCAGGAGTTCCAGTTGTAGTGTTAAAGTCCTTTTTCCTGTCCTATGTCTTCTGACTCTTCTCTGAAGGTTCACTGCATCACCTCACCATTCAACTAATGAGCCTTTCCCTATGACACTGTTTGGCCCTACAGTCCTATCAAACCAGAGAAAGAGCTCTTCTCACCCGATGCACTGTAAAGAGGAATGAAGTTGGTATCATCATTGCTCACAGCCATTCTTTCTCTACTGCTCTTATAATAATACGTGGTCACCTGAGCTCAAAGCAACAGTATCACTCTCTACCATGTACTGTTTTTCAACTGCCTACTTCTTTGGTCACTTTTCCCTCTTCATTAAGACTTTACACCTTTGGGCTGGCAGAGTGGTTCAAGTGGTAGCATGCCTGCCTAGCAAACCTGAGGTCCTGAGTTCAAACACCAGCACACACAAAAAAAAAGACTTTACACCCAATCAGTCCTCCTCACCACCTCAGAGTTTTACATTCAACAACTGACCTCTATTCTTTGGCCGCTTTATCACCAAGAAGATTCTTTTGCATTCTCACCACTTGTTTAACATTAAGTCTTCTCAGCTAGTCTTAAGTTCCGTGAGATGTCTTGTTCAGTGCTGAACCCTAGCATGGAGCAAAGTTTATACACTATATTGTTTTAAATAAGGTGTTTTTTCATCCATACTAAAAGCAAAAAATGGGAGCTGCTGCAGACCTATGTTGCTTACAAGAGAACCAATAAGGACAAAGAATATGTGGAAATCATATATAATATAAAAGCATTAAAAGATGTTTTTACCCAGAGAAAGTATTTGTTAGATGATGAATAAGGGAAATTAACAGCTATCTTAAAATATAAGAAGGTAACATCTAGAAAAGGCTGACAATTCTGAGACCTGAGATGAGGAATTGTCTATGCTACTAATTAGTGGCTTTAATTAATGTTACTGGGCCTTTGTTTTTTTTTCCCCTCATCTATAAATTAAAGGAAGTGAACCTTCTGGGTTCTAAACATTCTATTTCATTCAATGTAAAAAGTAGCTTAATAGGGTGTATAAGAAAGCAACCTGGGCTCGTATGGTGCTTGCCTCGCAAATGCAAGGAGGCCCTAGGTTCAGTCCTCGGCACACACACACACACACACACACACACACACACACCATGGAAAAAAATAAGGCAACCTGAGGACCAAGAACTGTCACAATTTTCACCAAGTTACCTTATCAAAGAAAGTAACTTTAAGAATGCTACAAAAGCCAGGTGGGGTAGCACATACCTGTAATCCCAGTGCTTATAAGGCTGAGGAAGGAGGACAGCAAGTTCAAGGCCAGCTTGGGCTTACAAGATCTAATGAAGGTTCATAAATGTTGGATTAGATCAGAGTTCAGTTAACTATGACCCATGGGGCAGCTGCTATTTGCATAAACAAAGTATTACTGGACCATAACCACACCTATTTATCTAAGTATTGTCTATGACTGTTTTCCTGCTACTATTAACTCTGGTTCAATAGTTCAAACACAGTGACTCAATAACTATTTGAACTACTGAACTCTGCAGACATATGGCCTATGAAGCCTCAAATATTTATGCTCTGGCATCTTAAGAAAAAGTTTACTGATCCTGAACTGAATGATCTACAAGATTCATTTTACATTTTATACATTGGCAAAAAAAAAAAAGTTTCAGCAAGCTGTTCCTAAATGGATAAAAAGCCATAGTTAAAACAGGAAAAAAGAACAGAAAGAAGAACGAGGATCACTTATGATTTCAATTCACTCCTAGTGATTATACCAGCTTCTCTCCTCAAGCTAGTGGATGGCTAGTCTTCCAGTCACTGAAACCTTCTATATTCCAGGAATACTCTAGAGATGCCTCACATCATACTCACCTGCCTTCCTTGACTTTCTGTGCATTTCCCTGACAGATGTAGTCCTCAATGTAACCATCACTGCAGTTGATTTTAGACCAGTCTGGGTCACAAACATCCAAGAAGTGAGGCCGCAGTCTGCCTATGGAATACTTGGCAATGTCAGTCAAAGACTGACTAGCAGCTGCCCCAAACAAAAAGGTTCCGATGGCTTTGTAAATAGTGGCTATGTAGTTATTCCTGATAAAGGAATTTGAGTGCAAGAGGTTAAAGTAAACAGACAGAGTCTCTCCCACAATCATCTGAAAAAGAAACAGAAAAAATATGTTAAAAAAAACAGATAATGGTAAATCACAATTAAAATCTGTGTTTTAAAAAGTCTTTTCCCTCCTTTTTTTTTTTTTTTCTTCTTTACAAGTTAGCCAACTTAGGATATCCAATTCTAAATAACAACAACAAAAAATGTCAGGGCAATTGTGGATGCTATTTACAAAGTACACCTGAAACAGTAAGGCTTTTTTCTTTTCTTGTATTCGAATATAAGAACTTTAATAGACAGACAGTGATACATCCTAGGAGACAAAAACTACAGCCTATTCAAAGAATGCAAACTCCCCCCAATCAGAATCTACCTTATATAAGCACTTTTATCTGAGAGTCTTCATTTTTCTCAAACATTCCTTCAAATCAGAGGACATTCATCATAGTAAAAAGGGTAAAGCAGTTTTAGGGAATAAAAATATTAATATAAAAAAGGGGTCTAAGACTGAGACCAAAGGTCTAGAGGGCAGAGATTCAGCAGACAGGGTCTCCAACTTCTGCCTTCCAGAAACCTTCAGGTGTAGGCTCCCTTCATGTGTCTTACTAAATGACCAAATGTACATACCATGCTTTCTCTTCCCCAAGGAAACATTTCATGTGATTCTGCCCTCTTTAATTTTTCCATTGACTTTTATAAAATTGGAATTAAAGCCTGCTCATAATTATGTTATGAACTACTATTTTAATAGGGTTGTGTATTTGTGAATGTACACACAGTGTAATGAGCTTAAAAGCATAAAAAGGTTTCCAACTATTTTACAAATTCACAATCCAATATCCCAAGAAATTTAAAGAATACTGAAAGGCAACATTATAAATAGTAACATTTGCGGGAGACATGTTTGAAGCAGTGGAGTGGGAAGTCTTGAGTTCAAACTATAGGATGGGCACACTCCAGATATCTAAAACCTAAACACACACTTAGGAAACAATCTGTTTGCTCATTTCTGTGTGTTGAAGGGGAGGGGGACTAGGAAGAGAATGTAACAATGTTTCACTTATACATACTTGTTTCTCTCCCTCATCTTAAATTTACATAAAACATTTTAGGAAGTATTATAACATTTCCAGTTAGTGAGCATTAACTGTCTTCAGGATCAGTCTTGTCATAAATAAAATAAATGCCTGACTCCTGAAAGCGATTTCAAGAACCTAATACTAAAAATTCTTTCCTCATCTGGATTGATGATTTCTAGAATTAGAATAATTCTATAATAAGAATGTTTTAACTTTGGTGATTATGAATTTCACAAAAACAAGTTCTTAATTGCTAGTTTCATCACAGGGACCTAAAACACAGTAGGTGATCAATGAATTTTAATTGAAGGTACTGCCTCTTGTGTAAAAATCAAACTCCCTTAAACACATTAAGCCCCATGAAAATATGGCCCTCATTTGAATGAATTCATCAAACCTTTTCTGAGAACAAATCACAGGAGAGGAAATCTATGTGTACTTCTAGGGACGTCATATCTTTACAATGTTGCTCAGGTTATTCCTGACTGCTTCTAGTAACCTACATATTAAAAGCATCTATTGCCTCCTTGGGCCATTACAGGATCCCAGTAATTCCCAACAGATCAGTAGCCAGGACTTCTCTAACAGTTCTTTATGGAATTGATCTTTGATAGTTGAAATTTTAACAGTGGAAACCTGAATATCTCTATTTTCAGCTGTTCTTAAACATGTAACTATTTTCCAGAAATAGTGCTGAGTTTTGTGGGTCTTCCTAGTCATACTCATCACTGTTTATGGCCACCCAAATCCTGTTCTTGCACTGATGATAGAAAATCAGCTCGCTAGGAACATTCAGAGCACTGAATAAGATCACAAACTCATCTACAGAAGCAGCATGAGGTGGAACTTAACCATTAACACTGGGATGGCTGGGAGACTGTAAACCAGCAAGTGTCAGGTTAGCCTATATAGTTTTTAAAATCAATATGCTCCTCTTTATAGAGAGAAACAGACAATAGAGAAGTTATAAATCAAGTCCTCTGAATTAAACGTAGAGATGTATCTGTCCACTTGATCTACACAAGACAGCCATATGCTATCATTTCATTTCAATACCTTACCCTGCCCTTGAGGCCAGTTCTTAGTCTTTGGTGACTAATTAGTCCTAGAACTGGGAAATTTTCTCATGAGTTATTTACCTAGACTCTAAGGATACAATAAATTATTAAAGAACTAAAGACAATATTTGGGGGAGTAAAACAATACTATGAAGATGAACAATAGTAAGAACCTAAATCACTGTGATTCAACCCTTTAAGCCTATGCCTCATAATATTATTCCTAATCTCCTTTCTATTTCCATTCACTAAGATCACGTCTCTATACTCCCTACAGTTATGTCTTTTCATGCAGGACCTGCCTTCCCAAAGGAATGGTCTAATATCCCTGGCACATTTCCACATCTTCTACTCCCTCCCAAAAAACCTAAACTGCTTCAATTCCTTTATTCTACTAAAGTTTTGTCAGAAGCCAAAAAGTGTACCATCAAAACCAAATGGATTTTTATCAACCCCCATTTACTTTAACTCTGATCACTTCACTGATCATTTCCTCCTTATTGAAATTCTCCATGGTCTTCTGAGAAACTATATTACTCTTGGTTGTCTTAACAGACTCCCTCAGTCACTCATATAATGATAGATCATTTGCAAGTCGTGTCAAAAGCCTGGTATAAAGCCTCAGTCAGTGACTTTTTAATGATTTACTTTCTAAAAAAATAAACATATACAACTCTAACCAAGTATTACTTGAAAGAAGCTAAGTTAATAAATAAACTGGAATTATTTTAAATTAGTACATGAAACCACTGCCCTGAATAGTTTGTTTCCTGATACTGCTGATATAAAAATAGTACTTTTATCAGCACTTTTATTATTTTTTTAGTCTCTATTCATTTCTTTTTTGTTTTTGGCAGCACTGGGGCTTGAACTGAAAGCCTCATACTTGCTAGGCAGGCATTCTAACCACTTGAGCCACTCTACCAGCCCCTTTCCAACATTTTTAAATAATTATCTTTTTTTAAAGAAATCTATACTCATTAATGTGCATTTTATTAAATGTAAAAATAACTTTCTCAGAGGTGTCCTTTTAAAAAAAAAAGTCCAATGAGATCTAATTCATGAGCTAGGCTGTTTGTCAGGCCTATGCATACTGCAAAGACTATGAACATCCATACAGCACCCAGCAAAAGGGCACCCTGTTCTGTTGCAGCTCTCTACTTTGTAACATGTTCTGTAGTTTTGTTTGTGCAACATCCTTTTTATGACAGAAAAGTAGAACTGAAAGATAAGTATATTTCTAACACTATTTAATACACAAATCTTGTCTGTAATCAAGATCAGCTGCAAATACCTCACATTTAACAATTTTAACAACTTGTATTTTAAGTTAATCTTTCAGAAACATGTATAATTTCACTTTTTTCTACCATGAAACGTTTTTGTTATTTGTTGTCCTACAAAAGTTCTTACATCAAATATATCATACTTGAATTCACCCCCTCCATCATTCTCTTTTATTTCCCCCTCTCCCATTCCTAGGAGAAATGTATCTTTATTTTTTTTTTCCAACATTTTTAAATAATTATCTTTTTTTAAAGAAATCTATACTCATTAATGTGCATTTTATTAAATGTAAAAATAACTTTCTCAGAGGTGTTCTTTTAAAAAAAAAAGGTCCAATGAGATCTAATTCATGAGCTAGGCTGTTTGTCAGGCCTATGCATATTGCAAAGACTATGAACATCCATACAGCACCCAGCAAAAGGGCACCCTGTTCTGTTGCAGCTCTCTACTTTGTAACATGTTCTGTAGTTTTGTTTGTGCAACATCCTTTTTATGACAGAAAAGTAGAACTGAAAGATAAGTATATTTCTAACACTATTTAATACACAAATCTTGTCTGTAATCAAGATCAGCTGCAAATACCTCACATTTAACAAGTTTTAACAACTTGTATTTTAAGTTAATCTTTCAGAAACATGTATAATTTTCACTTTTTCTACCATGAACGTTTTTGTTATTGTTGTCCTACAAAAGTTCTTACATCAAATATATCATACTTGAATTCACCCCCTCCATCATTCTCTTTTATTTCCCCCTCTCCCCATTCCTAGGAGAAATGTATCTTTATTTTTTTTTTTTAATGGCGGCACTGGACTTTGAACTCAGGACCTCACACTTGCTGGGCAGGCACTAGTTACTTGAGCCACTCTACCAGCCCAAACACGTATGCTTTTAAGAAAAGAAAAAATCAGTCAAGTATGGCAGTGCATTCCTGTAGTGTCACTACTGGGAAGGTTGAGATGGTAGGATCACTTGAGCCCATGAACTTATAACCAGCCTGGGAAACATAACACCTGTCTTTATAAAACAAGACAAAATAAAAAAGGAGGGGAGCTACTCCCTCCTTATGGAATAATCATAGGCTTAACTTGCTTTTTGGCAATCTTACTGGAACTCCTGGGTTTTTTTTTCTTTTTTGGTGGTACGAGGGCTTAAACTCAGGGCTTCACGTTTGCTAGGCAGGTACTCTACCACTTGAGCCACTTCACCAGCGCCTATTTCTTAAAACTTCGCCATTTTGTAGCTCTTGAGAGTCACCAAGGTTAATGCATAATTCCTCTGCTGCTCGATTTATTCAAACACAGTTTCATGTAAACACCTAGGACATGCCAGGCTCCAGGGCAGGCGTTGAAGACGATAAGGTGAAGAAGGTATTATTTTTGCCTTTAAGAAGCTCACAGTCTCATGAAACAAATATCAATAGATATTTTCTTTTATTAATTGCATACCACAAAGAATGAATTAACTTTCATGCTGATAAGATGCTGTGATCATTCTGAAGACATTATATTTCTAAATCAAGAATTTAAAAAAAAACTCCAAATATATATATATATATACTGTTGACCTTTCTCTTGAATAGGACCATATTTTCTGCTTTCAACTAACACAAATCTTGT